GATCCAGGGTGGCCAATTAGATTTCAGGGGTGGCACTGGCCACCCAAGGCTACTACCCATAATCGCACCTGATCCTTGGACTTGATAAGACTGTATATGTATGAGGAATTTACATTTGAGAGGTCTTCTTCAACTGAGCAACAACATATTTGCCCTTGTTTTCTTAGGAGTGGATTGGCTTTTGAGTACTTTCACCAAATCACATAAAAAAACAAAAGCAACTTTTGAACAGACTGACAAATGACTTAAAGAGGCATTACAGCATTTTCTAATTATACTGCCACCTGTGGCCAAAACACAGAAGTGCAGCAGTCCTATGCACGTTCTCGTAGATCGCACTCATACTTAACATGGTTCATTTTTCCTTTTTTCACCTTACGTAGAGTTGCCATTGGTGTCTGAGTTGACGTTGCATCCGCCAAACTAAATAAAGAAAAATAAGCTATAGATGCACTGGTGCTGAACTACTGAGGTATAAGTCTGCTCATCAAGCGGTGTTTTAGTCATAAAGGGTCAAATAAAAAGGCTATTTTAATAAATACGTTTTTCCGTAAAAACTCACATAATGTCTCTTTAAAAGGGTCCGTATATAGACATTCATTATGAATGGATAACAGCTGGAAAGTCCAGAGAAAGAAAACTTGGCTGCAGGTGGATTTGAGAGAGTGCTACAAAAAGAAAAAAATTTAATTCAAGATATATTGTATTAAATACATGTTTTAAATGATCCAATGTGCCATGTTTCTAAATAAAATGTAAACATCTCACAATGACAAAAGATTATATGAAGAGAATTAAGTAAGTAAGTAAGTAAACTTTATTTGTATAGCACTTTTCACAGACAAAGTCACAAAGTGCTTCACATGATAACATACAAACAACACAAGTAAAAACAGATAAAATGCAATAAAAGCTAAAATAAATAAGTGAATAAAACAATAAGCTATGTGCTTTGGAAGGCTAGTGAAAACAGGTGTGCTTTTAGCTGCTTTTTAAAGATATCCACCTAATCCAGAGAGCGCAGGGACAGGGGGAGTTCATTCCAGAGACGGGGTGCCACCACTTTAAAGGACCGGGATAGTGAGTAATGAATCTATAGCAGGAGTATAAACCCTGTAAATGGAAACTTTAGGTCTTTAGATTTGATCATTTAAAACTTGTTTCAGCGTTCCTCTGAGAATATTTTTGATAAACTAAACTAAAATTTAGCTTTTAAGCAACCAAGACTTCAAATTAGTTGGTCATGAAATAAAAGATGAATTGGCCCCTTTTTTTAAATATGGTGTAGGAATTTGTGATGCTTTGGGCCTGTTTCCCTCATAAATGAGCATGGAGTCTTTGAAATACAAAATCATTCTAAATGGTTCCTTTGTAAACAAGCTATAAATGAGCCTTGAACAAGAAAATGGCCCCAGACATATAATGAAGTAAAAACAATGACAAAGGTTCAACAGACTGAAATCTTTTTTTCCATTTCTTTCCCAGGCCTTAATGCAATGCAAATCTTGGGTGGCTGAGTGACTTGGAGAGAGTGACTAGGACATGCTAGACCAGGGATGTGCGATTCACCCACATCCCAAAAAACCGCAAAACAATATTTTGCTAATATAAATGAAAACACTGGCAGATTTTAGATATTTTTTGTATTTCTAAAACAGAATACATTTTTTTGTTATCAAGCGCTTTATTCATTTTCCATAAGTATGTAATTTAAAGAAAATATTTAATTATCTTTTTGCACAATTAACATACAAAAAGACTTAGACAACATTTCTTGTCTAAGTCGTTTTGTACAGCTCTCATGACATTTGCAGCAGTTATACAGTCAAAAGTAAATATTGTAGGAGAAAATACATGGTGCAAAAAAAGCGCATTGATATGATCGGTTTGTTGCACTCTGTGACATGATTTAGAGTTTTTTCAACATTCAGCACTCTGATGGTGGTGGGGAAGATGCTGTTTCGTAATCTGCTGAACCTGCATTGCTTCTCCCCCGAGGGCAGTAGGGAGAACAGTCCATGGTGGAATAGAAACTAGCTATGTTGTTGTTTTGATCAAAGATCGAACAATGATTCTTTAGCAGTTGTCAGATCAAATCTTTACATTGTGTTGGGATCCGGAGGCTTGCCCACCAGAGGGCGCCGAGGATCCCTTCCTGAGGGCTTGTGCTCACCTGCAACACCTGTCTTCCATCTGCTCATCAAGAGGACTCCTACTTAAGGAGGAGGAGACTGACACTCCAGCGCCAGAGTGTTTGCCAGTAATGGTTAGCAGAATCTGAGCCAGCCTGCCTGATTTAAGACCCTGTCTTTTGTGAAACCTGTCTGACCCAGTTTCTCCCTGTCTCTCAGATCCTGACTCGCCTGAAAACCAGAAAAACTCTGGAGAGAGAAACCACGGCTTGGAATCTGCCTGCCTGCACTCAGTCTCAGTCTCTGCCTCAGACCTCAGTCCTCTGCCAGTCGACCAGCCTCTGGACTCACAAGGTTCCCCCTCTGCAGATCTGAATCCCTTCTCTCAGCCTTGCCCTCAGTCCTCAGCCCACTGCCTGCCAATAAGCCTTTGGACTCACAGGGTTCCCACCCCCTGCAGATCAGAATCCCCTTCTGTATAGTTAAGTTCCTCCTGTGACCAGGCCGCTGAAACCAGAACCCTTGTATTTTCACCATTGTACATATTTAAATAAATCACTTAACTTTCCCCCGGTTTTCTGTGAGTGTTTCTGCATTTTGGGTTAGACACCTAAACCCCATCATGACACATTGAGCTCTTTGGGTGGCAGTTTTACTTTGTGACTTCTGACAAAATTTAATTGAAATTAGATAATGCAGCAGGAAATGTGTGGTTTCCTAAAAAAATAATTTCCTTTAAGGCTGTTTGGGATTATTTTTACACATTAATGTCCAGTTTCACACACAGACACAGGAGGGATCAAAGAACAGTTTCACCAAGCTGATCAAATTGAATTTGTGCTTCTCTGTCAGCAGAAGCATGACTGATTTACCACTGAGGCTATTTAAATTACCCTCATCTCATAAAAGCGGGGAAACAAGGCTTCTTGCTAAAGAGAAGGTTGTAAGGGACAAACAGGAAGTGGCCATTGTTTCGTTAGAGAAAATTACCTCTATATCAGTGAGGGAGACAGACTGTAACCTGACTGATAGATAAATGAGGGTCAAAACCATGCAGATGCAGGAGGAGATGGAAGAACAAAGCCTCAATTTCTGTACAGGCCAACATGCTGAATAAAATCTGACCGATGGATGTGTTTACATTCACAGAACCAATTTTAGCCAGTAGATTTGTGGCTTAGGCTTTAGTCTCTGCCTGTTAGTCTCTGCCTGTTAGATTTATACATGGTTGTTAGTTAGGGGTAGATCACGACTCTGAGACGTCTATTATGCAGAAAGGGTATATTTAATATATATATATATATATGTGTGTGTGTGTGTGTGTGTGTGTGTGTGTGTGTGTGTGTGTGTGTGTGTGTGTGTGTGTGTGTGTGTGTGTGT